GGAGGATTGGAAAAACATGAAGGACGGCGGCCCTCCAGGACCGGGGTTCAACACCTGTGAATGACGGGGAGGACAAAAAAAAAAAAAAAAAGATCTGCAGGCTCAGGTCACATATTGGAGGCCAGAGTTCAAAGCAAAGGCGGTGAAGCAGCATCGAGTTGCTATGCTGCACCAAAATCCAACAATGAGTGAAGTCAGCACCACGTGGGAAAGATTCCAAACGCGAGCTCAAAGTATCGGGGGGGGGGGGTGTTCTGTACTTTGTTTTGAAGTGCTTTCCAGTGTCGCGAGTCAAAGCAAGTTGAAAAGACGTTTACATCAAAGAAATGTCCAAACGATGCAGTCGACCTTCCCATTCATTTCCTGGAGCTGTTGAAAAGAATTTTGTCATCCAAGTCATAGAAGTGACTTTTTTACTTTGCTGCTTTCCAATCATTCAGATTCTTTGGTAAATCGTCTCCAACGACCCCACAAGAGGTAAGGGCGTTTTTTTTTTTTCTTGCTATCTGACCTGAAATAGTTTGCGCGTCCAAAGTTGGTTCGCATCGCTGGCTCACGTCTGAAGAAAAACGAGTTTGGCACTCGGTTGGCAGCCGCCGGCCTGATCGCGCCTCGCCTTTCTCTCAAAGTGCTGTGCAGTTTTGTGTGACATCCAATCTTGAGAAGGTCATCCGAGTTTGGCCGATTGGTGTGACCGCTTTGATTGATATTATTCTTACCCCCCTGCCCCCTCCCACCAGCAACAAGATGCAGAAGCTACTTCTTCTCGTAGGTAAGGCGCGCCACCGAGGGCAAGTGTTGTGAATGGTTGTTTTATTTTGAAAGTGTGAACAGTTGTGACTAAGGTGCCAATTCATTCGCAGGTCTGTGCGTGCTCGTGGCGCACTTGGGTAAGTTTCCCTCTTGCGCCGATTTGTCCCTGGCAGCCAACGTGCCGTTCTCGAGACGAACCGCTGTCCGTTTTCGCGTTTCAGAGGCCACATGCTCCCGAAAACTGGTGTGCACCTTCCAGAGCGTTCCCGACTCAGACGTGAACGGCATCAATGACGTTGACGTGGCGTCCGACATGAAACGGCAGCCGTGCACCCACATCATCTTCAAACGTGTCCGGCCAAATAAACAAATGAAGATTCCCTCCAGCGGGGGACCAATTCAGGATCATCAGGACTTCAAGACGGCATTTCCGGGGTCAGATTTGGGGCACTTTTTGAGATGTTGTTGAATACGAAGAACACTAACAAGGAAACGTCTTTGTTCCAATTGCAGCGCAACCGCGAAAACCCTTTTGGAAGTCGATCTGATTGGGATTAGCAGCGCTATGTGAGTCACAAAACACACCGAGCAGATTGCGGCCCACTTCGCTTCATGCTATAACGAAGCATGCAAAACCCCACAGAAACGCTCATCGTTAAAGGTTGTCAGGCAAAGCTTTCGAAGCATTTGTTGATCCATCCTCGGCACAAAGAGACTCGTGTTAAGGCAACTTCGTGAGCGGCGATAGAACAAGTCTATTGTTATAGTGTTATACTGGCCCCTGGTGACCAAGGCGGGCACACCAGAAGGGGCAGCACAACGAATCAAACTGCCGCATCGATTGAATCACAACGTACAAACTGTTCAACGCTTGACAAGGCGTTTATTGATTTTGCGACACAACGTCGATTCTTTTTTTTAGCACATATTCAACGTGAAGCAACTTCGCACAAGTGAAAGCACGACAAAAAGTATTGACAGAACAACGGAAGACACGAAGCAAAGACGACTCAAATGGCTGATTTGAACGACCAAAAGAATGGACCACCGATCGAGCACTTTTACACCCAAAACATTTCCAGAGATAAAAAGTACTTTTCTGAAATTACTTAAGAACGTCGAGTGACCTTATTTATTAAATGACAAAAAGTCCCGAATCGATGGGAATGAAAAAACCCAATCGCTTTTAATTGGGATTTAAAAGCATGGAAAAGCAAGTCCTCTTTACCTCATTAAATTTTTTGGGGGAGTGGCGGGGGCGGACCGGACTCGTATCTCAAGGCAGCACAGCACTGAGAAGAATTCCCAATTGGAAGCACAAAACAACAAAAGTGGTTTTGATTGTTTTTTGGGTTTTCTTTTTTGGTGTTTGTGACACGAACTTGCTTTTCCTCCCATTGACCAGATTCACACTTCCAAAGAGGGCCGATTTTATCACATCCGTATTCAACGTCGTGGTTGCTGAGGGCTTCGATGGCGTCAACATCTTGTGGATGCAAAGCGGAGCCTTTGATTCAGAAGCCAAGCAGGGATTCACAGATCTCATGAAGGTCTGATCTTGGAAATTGTCCTCCTCTAAACGGTTTGCCAAAGCCTTGATGGTGGCGTTTTGCTGAGCAGGAGCTGAAAGCCAAGCTGGACTTGCTCACCGCTAGCGTATCCGGTGTGCCTTCTGTCATCGATGACAGTTACGAGGTCCCACAGCTTGTCGGGTAAGCACAAATCTCATTCGGTAGCTTTGCCGCGTTGACGCTACGATGGGCCATAACTGCCGTGCGTGTGCGTTTGCCCAGGATCGTCGACTGCTTCAACGTGATGACCGCTGATCTTGACCGAAAATCTCCTGTCGGCACATTCCCCAATGCGGTAAGCGAGACCCACTGTGGAGGTATCGGCTCCAATGGGATTAGTCAACGGCCGAAGCAAAGTTTGGCGGCGAGAAACATGGGACGGATGCGAGGGCCGCTGTCCCGTTCCTGCACTAGAAAAGCAATCGGCCAGTCGAATTCATGATAGCAGGGAACAGACAAAGCGCGGCCCACAGAGAGCCCTTAAGACCCTTGAGATATTTGGATCAGGTTTTGCCTTGCCCGGACGCAGGTTCCGGCCCCCCCCCCCCCTCTCGGAGGGCTGCAGCTCAAAAAGGCAACGTGGCTCCCCTTCCGCATTGCCTGTCAGTAAAAGGCCTTTGATCCCCAACGACAGAAACTCGCTGTAGGGTCAGCGAATGCGACAGGAGCCCCCAAGCTGGTGTGTCAGGTCGAGAAGTTTCCGACTGGACATCGTCGGGCCGGCCTCCGCACACAGTTTGGCGTCTGCTTGCAGCCCAGAAGGATGTGGGGGGCCACTCGCACATTCTCCCCCTTGAATGGATTCAGCAGGCCAAAAGCAATCTGTCAGGGAATTCACGCAACGGCTCATTCTCAGCTCATTCGCCGGCGCAAACGTCTGATTTGGTCACAGAGCGAAACGAGTTGTCAGTGCGCACGACCGGTTGTTGTTTTTACAAGTGACTGCCCATCGAAAAGAGTTGACTCCCTTCGACAAGGCAACGCCAAGAGTTGAGCAAACCGAAAAAGGGGGAGGAGGATTTGGGAGGCGCGAGGATTCGGCCTGAAGCCAGACAGTTTTTTTTTTTTTATTCCCCCAAAGAGCACAAGTTTACTCGTGGAGCGCGAGCTTTCCCTCATTCAAAAACAAACATATCACAACAAGTGCTTGGCGTCAGGGAACAAATTCCACTCGTGTCTCACGGCGCGAGCGTTGACGCCGCGTGCGGCAGCTCAGAGTTGGCGCAAGCTCGGCCCGAGCCTTCCGATTTCCGTCCTCTTGCCCATCAAGGCTTTGCCTGCATTTTAGATTGATGGAATGGATCACTGGGTACAAGAGGGAGCGCCAACAGGAAAGCTGAACATGGGAATCGCCACCTACGGTGTTGACACGAAGCCCAAAGCCACGGCAAGGATCTGGCCCAAATCCCAGGTACAACCCGAGACCGCAGAGCATTCAAAGCAATGAGACGGCACCACGGCAAACCGAGTCCATCTTTCAGGTCTGCGCTGCCCCGTTGCTTCCCGCCACGGTTGTCATCGACAGCGATGCGACCATCGACGACAAGGTATGTCAAATAATCAAGCAAAATTCTTGCGGCCCTCCTTCAGACGTAAACGTTTTCTTTGCCTCCCCGTCCAGGCCACCCACATCGTGACTCAGAACTTTGGAGGAGCCTACGTGACGTCTCTGGAACTGGACGACTTTGATGGAGTCGCCTGTGCCGCGGGGCCCTTTCCCGTCATCCAGCGTGTCAAGGACGTAGTCTGCCCTTGATTCGAAAGCGACGATCGCGCGCACGAGGGTGAAGGCGACTCTCCTGCCCTCTCGCAAATCCCCCTTCGCTTACTTGGGACGCGGGCCCCCGCTTGAGACTTGGCCGGTCTCAGCCCCCACGCTCGTCATCGCAATTCGACAAAATGTACAAAAACGCAGAGGAACAACGCTCAGCATTGACCAAATTTGGGATGGATGGCAGATGAAGATAAACAAAAAAAAGAAAGGTCACCGAAGTAAAAGGGACCACTCGCAAAGATTCTGTTGCGGCACCGAGGACAAAATAAGAAAATTTGCATGACCGTAGATGCGATCTCTCAAATGCGAAGAACCGAAGAAACTCAGCAGCATGAGCCGAGTCTTTCCAAAGAAGTCTCGAAAAACAACAACATCGTCCCAAAAGCACGAAAGGATGACGAAGCCTCGCTCCAATTTGTACAAATCCGATTTTGCCCAACACCGAATTGTTTGCTCTCTGACATTTTGCAATCAATCGAGGCTTTGTCAGCAGCCGGCGATGACACGATGCACTTGTAACTGCCGCGAGACGTATCTGGTGTGCCTCTCTCTTTTCCTTGCTCAACCAAAAGCAATAAAAATGTGTCAAGACACAACAAGGCGTGGATTGTTTTCTCTTGATGCTCGACAAAAACAAAGCCTTGGAAACTTTCGCTACGCCGCTTGTGACGCGTCGCAAGTGTCCGTTACTCCAACACACCAAACTCATTTTCGACTTGAAGACGAGAGGCCAAGCAAAAACGCCACACGGAAACAAGTCCAAAGGATGAGCATGTACTGTGCCCGCCCCCTCCCTTTCAAATGAAAAACACAATCAGAGGGGACCGTCGATTTTCACGCACACTCGAGAGCCCTGCATTGGCGTGTTTGTGAGACGAAAGACCGAAGTAGAAATCTTGCAGACTTTATTCTCAACAAACTGTTCACAATCAAACCTGTACACAACAACAACAAAAAAAAAAACAAAAAAAGAAAAAGGTGGACTGAAGCGAACAAACTCAACAAACACCCTTTCCAAAAAACATTTCGTTCCACGCCAAATAAAGCCGGACGACTCGCCGTGGCAACAACGGGAAGGAAAACCACAAGTCGCATTCACGCGAAGCCGCAGTCGCCCGCTCAAGAGTCCAATCGA